ACATACATACATACATACATACATACATACATTGTGGAGTGTGTGAAATTGTATGTAATAACACAAATCATCTAACACTTTGATATTGTTTGCTATATAGCATATACAAATTTAAGTTGTGTCTTCACCATCTGGTGTTTGGGAAATTTTCAGTATAATATGAATTTACTTTCAAATCATTTAGTAAAATTCTATCTTGATAGTGATCTTACATTTTATCGTTTTGTCAGGTCCATATCACAACTGATGCTTAAGCACGTGCAACCTTCAGCCTGCGACCTAGTTTTATCCTGTTACATATGCATCATACGGGAACGTTTAAAATCGTAGTCAGTGCGTGTCCTGGATGAATTTGCACTTGCCTGATTTATTCCAGTCAATCTCAACGAGCAGAGGTACGACGTGAAGAAAACACGAGAAACACCAACTACAAAATGGGTATTAACAAATCTTATATTTGCCGGTATAGGTGATCCAATTAAAAAATCTAAAAGATGTAAATTGAATGACTTTAACCTCGTCGACAACTAGGAAGTTCAAATATTATCGAAATATACGAAACCCTTATCCGGAAATAAACAGCAAATATCAACAAAGATGCGTTGTGGCGCTTGTTTTTTTTTTTTACCTGAGAAGCCATCGATTTTGTATGTTTTACTGGCTATTTGTGACACAATCAAAACGCCTCGGTAACTCTCGCGAGTTGCATGCGCAGTAATCATATCGAGTCCATCCTCTATTGGTAGAACTTTCTCAACCACGATATTCCGCCCACATGTATTAATAATTCCATGACGACCTCTTATCGTTTCCTATTGTCTCTATGCATGCGTATATCAGAAATTTACATCGAGGAGGTTGTTATATATATATATATATATATATATATATATATATATATATATATATATATATATATATATATATATATATATATATATATATATATATATATGTATATATATATATAAAATAACAACATTTAGGACCACAAAAAAGCTTTCTGATTAAGTCCGAATGAAATCATTTCAATGCGTGAAATAGTTTCTTCAGCAAACTTATTTTTAGGATGTTTGGCCTTTATAAACGGTAGTTAACACGGTAATATATTCATCCTAAATTATAGGTTCGAAATGCGGGGGAAAATTTGAAAGCAATCAAAGTTGGGACGGGTCTATATCAATAAAACACGTGTCATTTTCTAATAGGCCGGTGTGCGTTTTGAGCCCCTAATTGTAATTAACATAGAAGAAATGGGTCACAACAAAACCGTTTAATGTGGCTTAAGTTTGAATGCATAGCAAATCCAACAAACGTTTGTAAAATCCGCATTGTACTTAGCTTTATTATGGGTCAATTTGTCTGGGTACCGTCCACGTATAGCCTATCTTTGCGCCGAGAAATTGTCTGTCCCAAAGGTAACCACACCTTCCACGGTTTTAATAAGGTTTTATTCAATCGAATCACCTCAGCTATTTATGCGAACAGAAACATGTCCTGATGTATGTTGCTGTAGTAATTTAGAAAAAGTTCCCGCTAGAAATTTCTTCGCCAAACAAATCAAAAATTGCAATCCAATTATGCCCCTCCAGCTATGTATATGATTGATTTGACCGTATGATTGACGTAGAAGTCGTGAATGATAAAACGGTGCGATCGCAACGTCTCGGTCAATCCTTGTTTCGTAAATGGATGAGGTGGTCCGAAAGGCAGCTAAATGCATTAACATAAATTCAAACTATGATCCTAAGGATTGACAGAGATGCTGCGAATGATAACATATAGCAACATCATTGGATAGCAAAACGTCGTTGCTGTATTATTTATTATACATTATCTTGGACAAAACAGTTATGAAACACCCTGTATGATACATTATGTCACTAGTATCCAATTTCATAATTAATTATGTATCGCACTTTTTAATTTCTCATGATTTGGAATCATATTAATCTAATTGTGTTAAGACTAATTCTAATAGTAAATGGAAAACAAAATTTTACTTAAGATATTAAACCTCTGTTAGATATAAACCTAATAAATCAGTTTTCTCTCATGTAAATACGTTTCAACGATAACGGTGGAGATTTCAAGGCATCATTCGGCAGAACAGCGGATTATATGAAATATTTACAAGAACTCATTTTCGCCATGGATGTTTATCATCAATAATGCCAGCCAACCAGACCGTAATCCGATTGTGTTAGCCAAGACATCAGCCAGAATCAAGGAGACGGTATCCTATCTTGGTTTGAACTGATTACCGATATCTTACGCAGTTAGACTGTAATCATGATTAAAGGACGGTTCCACTGGATACTGACCTTAACCGCTTGACCACCTCAGCTTGTACAACATGTATTAGATCAAGGTTAAATGGTCAGTAACTAAGGTTAAGCGGCCATTTACTAACCTAATATCACTAAATAAGTAGAGAAATATGAGAAACATACATACTGAGAGCATGTATACATGAATACGTTGCCTTTGTATGTATGCATGCATACGAACACCATGTATTATAGACTATATAACTAATATTGTATGTAGGTAGGTAGGTATAATCGTAGGTATAATTTTATAATTGTAGGTATAATTGTAAGTATAAATGTATATATGTATATGTATGGATGAATATTGGTGTCTTTGTGTGCAAGTATGTGTGTACATCTGTCTGTCTGTGCTTATATTTATGGATGTAGCTACATAGGTATGACTGGATTTACGTTTGCATATCTTAATCTGTAACAGAACAACTTAGCCGATCCAGTATGTCCGATATATATATATATATATATATATATATATATATATATATATATATATATATATATATATATATATATATATATATATATATATATATATATATATATATATATGATCTCTATTTAGGTGTATACAAAAAGGTTTTATTTGTGACGCCATTATGTTTACCCATAGAATATTGAGCCATAACAAGCAACATAACAGAATAGCAAACGTGACGTAATATCGCTATTTTCAAGATCCAATTTTCTACAAAAACAACTCTTTCACAGGAATAAAAGAAACATTTTATTAGATGGATTTGTTTTCAAAGTAAGAAAATTATTTCTCTTTTGTAAGAAGAGTTCGATGTGGGTGGAGTTTAAGATTTAATCTTGATGGAATACATGGATACATAATCCCTTATAAAAAGAAAATAATCATTCTGTTAGAGAAAATGAGGTATTTATATATTCTTGTTGTCTGCAAGAGAAAGTTAGGTCACATTACAAACAAATGTACGTATGATTGATTGCCTCGTTTTACCAAGAAGGGTGAGTCGTAAAAGCATTGTGCTGCACATTGAATACTCCAGTTATTCTATTAGGTATATTTGTTGAGCTTCACGATCGAAGAATCTCAATTTTGATTATTTTGAATAGGTACTTGTAGAGCTGGGAAATCCAGCACTATTATTATCAGTTGACGCATATCCCATGATAAATGACGTAAGTTACTAGTAAAACAAAGATAATAGTATATTACAAGATGGACGCCATGACCCTGACACAAATTAAAACCGTATTCTGATCTATAAAGTAGCTACTACACAAAATGTTAATGCTATTAACTCTAGCGCCTTTACATTATCAGTCTTTGTGTTGTTGTTTTGTTGCGACTGTTGTTGTTGTTGTTGTTGAAACTCACTTTGCATGCATTGTGTTGTTTTCATTATTTGCTATAATCATGATAATATATGGAAAATGCCACAAATTAAGGCCTATCAGTCAAATAAGTAAGGAAACAAGTCAGGTTGGTGATCTTTCTGTTATGATAAGCAAGTTTACGCGTTATCTTTATTAGTAGGTATCACAGTTTTATGTGGCAGCCGTGCAATGCTTAATCTTTAAGAGCTTTTTCGTATTCCCAGTTTTGAACATGCGCAAAGCATATTATTCTCCGACTGTTCATTGGCGGTTTGCCTGGCCCCTCCTACACTGCAAAAGGAAACTAAGCCAACAATCATGATTGTTAATATGGTAACAATGCGCAACGAGTTTATTTTCCCTCCCCTGGACTTTGTTTCTCCCTCTCCTGGAGTTTATTTCTCCACCACCTAAAGTTTCTTGCTTATTCTCACGGAGTTTTTTTTTTCTTCCAATTGAGTGCCTAAGAAAAATATCATTTGTAATTTAATTTTGAATATTTTCTGACAAAACTTATACCCGAGTCATATCTGAAAGATGCATTATGTAAGTCTATTTTACGGAATAAGCATTAAGAAGGATGATTTATGAATCCTTTGTGTTTTTGCTTTTTTAGGACGTGGGGGTGGGGACGAATTATGTTTGAGAGGAAAGTTTAAAGATTTTTAAACTTCACATCTATCCACATGGGACTGAACCTTGGGTTTGGCGAATGTGTATATCTTAGAAGGCTTGCAAGTAGCGTCCAGGCCCGGCCCTAGGATGTTCGGGGCACAAGGCAGCATGCGGATTCCAAGGCAGCAAGCGATGAGCATGGGTCCCCAAGCAAACAAAATTGCATTGCGGAAAAGGACGGGGACCAAGGCGGTTGCTTCGTTCGCCTTGCCCTAGGGCCTGGCCTGGCCTGGTAGCTTCCTGTGGGTTGGTAGTTCTTACCGGTGTTTTTGCTGGTTCTTCCTATACTAGTTATACTAACCGACATGAATAGTATATGACTTCAAATCCACAACAAAAATAAAGGTTTTAAACTTGTGTGTGTGTGTGTGTGTGTGTGTGTGTGTGTGTGTGTGTGCTTTAGATTTTAACGTATCTTTAACAATTTTCCAGTCATATTGCTACCATGTCTGCAGTGTAACAATTTATAATGATGTCTAGCACTGGGGCATCATGCCGCAGAAAAGTGTACCCTTGAAATTATTGACATGTGGCATGATGTCCCACGTAGTCACATTATCCTAAGCCTAGGCCAACCAGTCTTAACACTAACTTCTTAATGCTGAGCGCCAAGCGAGGCAGCTGGTAGTACCAATTTTAAAGTCTTTAGTATGACTCAGACGGGGTTCGAACCCTCGACCTCCGGCATCCGAGGCAAATGCTCTAACTACTATGCCACCGGAGCGGTCGATTTATAATGAGACTGTCTTTGTGTAAACCATATATGAACATTGGTGGAGGTCTACGTTTGCAATCTATAATTATTTTAACATTGCTCTTTTTTTCCTCCGGATGCAGGCAACCATTGGTAACAACAGATTGTTATCGATAGCTCATTTGGTAGAACATGACACATATTATCAAAGGGTCGCAGATTCGATACCCGCCAAGTTCAGTCTGGGTCTGTTTTGGAATGACTTCCTCAATGTGTTCTTGCGAAAAGCACTTAACTTCATCTTCCTTGTCACAATCTAGGCAATGCATTATTTGAAAGTGCCGTTCAAAACCAACCAACAGCATGGTAAAGCAATATAACTTATACAGGTCAGTTAACTTTGAGTTTCATTAATTGTTTATGTCACAGAGTCTCAAGTCTAGACGACAGCAAAGCTCTATCGAGCTTGCTTGTTTTTGTTTATACGAAAATTGTAAGACTTGGTTCTCATAAAGATCTGAGATATCAGTTAACTATTGAAATTAAATGTACCATATATTTTCATTTAATTGAGAAACTATCATATTATCCACACCACTGTCAAACGGATAAAGGCTAAGCATGGCGTATTATTGACACGGGTACGCTTTAGTTGCTGAAGGTAATTCACTCGAGCTTGTAACCATGACAACATGGACTTCCTCAATTACGCGATAAACGAAACCATTCACCAGATAAAATTATTGATGGAGTTGGGATTTTGGTTTCTTTTTTTTTAATGAGACTAACTAAAAACTAGGTAAAATATAGCAAAGGTCGTTTGATGAAATTAAAATGAATGCCAATAAAATATACCATGAATAATTCTGAAGAAGCTGATAATGTAGACTTGATGCATGAAAGCAGAATTTGCGGTCTGATAGTAATATTTACCCGTTATAAATTATTACGTTTGACAAATCTTTATGATCAAATGTATACGATTCATTTAGAGCGTGTTCTTCCTATTTCCTAAATTCATACGTTCTTGACCTGCTTTATTCAATCTGATAAGATACTAGATGTTTCACCCTTCAAAGAATATGCTACATCTTTATATCGAGGGAACATTTTATGACTTTTTATTTGCATTTGGAATCGTGAACTTCAAGCGGTAAATCGCAGTCTTTTGTTATAAATTAATAGCTTCTCTTGTTCGAGTGGATAATGGATTCTGCTTTGCGATTTTTTTGTGATTGAAATGGTTATCTTTGAAATTATGGATTTGTGTCGCTTGGCACACGTGAATATAAAAAGAACTTTTTTTAGTGGGAATACCCACAGGCAACAGGCATATAACATATGAGAGTACTAGCGTTGCAGTAACACAATGACATTTTTCAGTGGGATTGCTCCCAGGCTACGTGCTTGTAGTATATGAGAATACTAGTGTTACAATAATACAATAACATTTTTCAGTGGGAATACTTTCCAGACTATATACATTCAGCATATGGGAATGCTAGTGTTAGACTAGCATAATAACATTTTCAGTGGGAATACTCTCAGGCTAAATACAGGTATTATTGTTATAGTAACATAATAACATTTTGTTTCAGTGGGAATACCCACAGGCTATACACATATAGCATATGAGAGTACTAGTAACACATGAGAGTACTAGTAACACAATAACATTTTCGGTGGGATTACTCCCACGCTTCATGTGAGTACCAGTGTTACAATAATATATTTTAAGGGATGCACAAATATATCACTTTCTAAAATCAATGTAAAAAACATTGATTGTTTAAACTACTCACAATGCTAGCTATCTGGTAAGTATTATTTATGTCCTGTAATTAATCAACTTTGTGGATAATTAAAACAGTAACACTCCACCACTGGGTCGGTTGGTGGGGTAAGAAGGAGTAAATACCAAATAACTAGAGTAACAAAAGCAAAGACGCAAGTCAAAACGAACGTGTTACATTTGAAAATACATGTAATAAAAGGAACATCATAGCGATTAACATGAGAGTGTAAAAAACATGATAGAAAATCACGGAGACAAGGAAGCTAAGGTAAAGCTAAGGTAAACTATATGGATTATTTGAGATTTTTAATCAATAATGCACTAATGTTTAGTTAGTTGATGTTTCAAAGTTTATGGAATCAAAATAAGATATATAAGAGTTAGGTCTTTCATACAATAATTGAGACAAGTATGTTTTCCCTTTTTTTGTAAAGTAGGTACAGTCAAATGCAGTGAAATTCATCCAGCAGTCGGTCAAAAGTACATACAGTACATTTCCTTTTTGGAAGAATCAATCACATACAGTACATTTCCTTTTTGGAAGAATCAATCACATACAGTACATTTCCTTTTTGGAAGAATCAATCACATACAGTACATTTCCTTTTTGGAAGAATCAATCACATACAGTACATTTTCTTTATGGAAGAATCAATCACATACAGTACATTTCCTTTATGGAAGAATCAATCACATACAGTACATTTTCTTTATGGAAGAATCAATCACATACAGTACATTTTCTTTATGGAAGAATCAATCACATACAGTACATTTTCTTTATGGAAGAATCAATCACATACAGTACATTTTCTTTATGGAAGAATCAATCACATACAGTACATTTTCTTTATGGAAGAATCAATCACATACAGTACATTTTCTTTATGGAAGAATCAATCACATACAGTACATTTTCTTTATGGAAGAATCAATCACATACAGTACATTTTCTTTATGGAAGAATCAATCACATACAGTACATTTTCTTTATGGAAGAATCAATCACATACAGTACATTTTCTTTATGGAAGAATCAATCACATACAGTACATTTTCTTTAAGGAAGAATCAATAACATATAGTACATTTCCTTTTTGGAAGAATCAATCATATACAGTACATTTTCTTTATGGAAGAATCAATCACATACAGTACATTTTCTTTATGGAAGAATCAATCACATACAGTACATTTTCTTTATGGAAGAATCAATCACATACAGTACATTTTCTTTATGGAAGAATCAATCACATACAGTACATTTTCTTTATGGAAGAATCAATCACATACAGTACATTTTCTTTATGGAAGAATCAATCACATACAGTACATTTCCTTTTTGGAAGAATCAATCACATACAGTACATTTTCTTTATGGAAGAATCAATCACATACAGTACATATTCTTTATGGAAGAATCAATCACATACAGTACATTTTCTTTATGGAAGAATCAATCACATACAGTACATCTTCTTTATGGAAGAATCAATCACATACAGTACATTTTCTTTATGGAAGAATCAATCACATACAGTACATTTTCTTTATGGAAGAATCAATCACATACAGTACATTTTCTTTTTGGAAGAATCAATCACATACAGTACATTTTCTTTATGGAAGAATCAATCACATACAGTACATTTTCTTTTTGGAAGAATCAATCACATACAGTACATTTTCTTTATGGAAGAATCAATCACATACAGTACATTTTCTTTATAGAAGAATCAATCACATACAGTACATTTTCTTTATGGAAGAATCAATCACATACAGTACATTTTCTTTATGGAAGAATCAATCACATACAGTACATTTTCTTTTTGGAAGAATCAATCACATACAGTACATTTTCTTTATGGAAGAATCAATCACATACAGTACATTTTCTTTATGGAAGAATCAATCACATACAGTACATTTTCTTTATGGAAGAATCAATCACATACAGTACATTTTCTTTATGGAAGAATCAATCACATACAGTACATTTTCTTTTTGGAAGAATCAATCACATACAGTACATTTTCTTTATGGAAGAATCAATCACATACAGTACATTTTCTTTATGGAAGAATCAATCACATACAGTACATTTTCTTTTTGGAAGAATCAATCACATACAGTACAGTTCCTTTTTGGAAGAATCAATTACATACAGTACATTTCCGTTTTGGAAGAATCAATCACATACAGTACATTTTCTTTATGGAAGAATCAATCACATACAGTACATTTTCTTTATGGAAGAATCAATCACATACAGTACATTTTCTTTATGGAAGAATCAATCACATACAGTACATTTTCTTTTTGGAAGAATCAATCACATACAGTACATTTCCTTTTTAGAAGAATCAATTACATACAGTACATTTTCTTTATGGAAGAATCAATCACGTACAGTACATTTTCTTTATGGAAGAATCAATCACATACAGTACATTTTCTTTATGGAAGAATCAATCACATACAGTACATTTTCTTTATGGAAGAATCAATCACATACAGTACATTTTCTTTTTGGAAGAATCAATTACATACAGTACATTTTCTTTATGGAAGAATCAATCACATACAGTACATTTTCTTTATGGAAGAATCAATCTCATACAGTACATTTTCTTTATGGAAGAATCAATCACATACAGTACATTTTCTTTATGGAAGAATCAATCACATACAGTACATTTTCTTTATGGAAGAATCAATCACATACAGTACATTTTCTTTTTGGAAGAATCAATCACATACAGTACATTTTCTTTTTAGAAGAATCAATCACATACAGTACATTTTCTTTTTGGAAGAATCAATCACATACAGTACATTTTCTTTATGGAAGAATCAATCACATACAGTACATTTTCTTTATGGAAGAATCAATCACATACAGTACATTTCCTTTTTGGAAGAATCAATCACATACAGTACATTTTCTTTATGGAAGAATCAATCACATACAGTACATTTTCTTTATGGAAGAATCAATCACATACAGTACATTTCCTTTTTGGAAGAATCAATCACACACAGTACATTTCCTTTTTGGAAGAATCAATCACATACAGTACATTTTCTTTATGGAAGAATCAATCACATACAGTACATTTTCTTTATGGAAGAATCAATCACATACAGTACATTTCCTTTATGGAAGAATCAATCACATACAGTACATTTTCTTTATGGAAGAATCAATCACATACAGTACATTTTCTTTATGGAAG